TAAGGTAGATTAAATGGGCTCGGCTGACCCAAATCAATTAAATTAAATAGGCTTAGCTGGCCCAAAACGACATCAATCTGGATGTCTCATGTCACTTTGCTTTTGCATTAATAACTGCCTGAAAGTTGTGCCGTTCCAGTAGCCACCGAAAACCTCTCTCCCCAGTCCCCATGAAGAATTTCGCAAAGCACTCCAGTCTACAGCGCCCCAATCTCTCTGTTTTGGCTTTTATCCCTTCATCAACACCATCACCGACTCTCTGTAGTAGCTCCCATGGCGGATTTACTCTTACATTCAAGATCCTGCATTTAAACAGCCTCTCGCATCAGTTTGATTTAGAACACAAAATTGGAAATCCGTCGATCGTTGTCTTTGCTTGATGTTACCATGTCTTGCCTCAATTCAATTAGGCAAGTGAGTTTGTTTTCAACCATTGTGCCGCATCACAGTCCCTCCCCAGGCAGCTTTAGGTAATCATTTGATTTTATTATTATGAAACCCCTAAGCGGTGTTCTGCATTATCTCACATAATTTTTCTCTTTTTTTAGCCCTTGTATGGATAGAAAATAGTAAAGGGAAGGGAAGGGAAGGGAGGGGAATGGAGGAAAATAAAAGGACATGGAGGGAGAGGAAAAGAAAGGGAAGGGAAGAAAATAGAACAAAATGATTTGTATTAATTTTGTTTAGATAAATAAAAATGAGGAAGAAAAAAGGAAAGATTGTATTATTTTATGTTTAGATAATTAAAGTAAAAGGAAAGAAAGGAAATGAAAGATTTAAATTAATTTTAAATTTATAAATTTATCTTTTAAACTTATAATGAAAAAAGATATAATAAAATAATTAAAATTAATTTTATAATTACATTTAACTTAATCTAAATAATCACTCAAATTCCTCCCAAACCCCCTAAATGGGAGATTGCAAATCTGTAAATTTAAAAGTAGTTGGAAGGAGTCTGAATCAGTACATCTCATTCCCCTTTCTTTTTACCTTTTTGGAAACCAAACAGGTGAAAGAAGAAACCCTCACTCCCCTCTCTTGCCATCCGTCCCCATCCCTTCCCCTCCCTCTTCGTCCAACACCTCCAATCCAAACAGTCTTAAAGCAAAAGTAAACTATCAAAACCATATACAAATAAGTAGTCTAGAAAAACAATGCTATAAATTTAAATATAAATGAAAATGTTTGAAAAATGAGAAAATTTTGACATCTTTCCTTTTACCTTTTAACTTCTGGGATGCGTATGCGTTTCTAACTTGCATTTCCCTGCATCTTGCAACACAACACGGATGATTATACGAGCTGTATCGCAAGATGCAGAGGAAAAACAAGTAAGAGGTAACCCCCCGTCTCCGCCACGCCATGGCAGCGGCGTAATCAGTGCGCTGATAATTTTTCCTTTTCGAAAAGGCATGAAAGTATGAAACCCTGTTCTTCATGGCAGAAGAAATGAAACCCAAGTTTAATTCTACTCCATACTCAACCAAACCCGAGAAAAGGACACAATTTTTCTCACCTGTCAAACAATCATTCAAACGAACTCTTTCGACAACCCAGAAGCCAGAGGAAAGAAAGAAATCTAACCCAGTCTCCAACAAGCAAAATCTGTTATAGGTGGAATCAAGTAAATTGCAATTAACGCTTTATAGAGATGAGAAAGAAAGTCGAACGAGAAGAAGACGATGAGTATGGATTGACGTACAGAATGACAGATCTAGGTATCTGTTCCCGAATATGAGGAGGAGGAGGAGGAGGAGGAGGAATGGATAAGGTTTGTGTATTTCCGCGGCAAAAAAAATAGGGCTTGTGTTTTATTAACGGGCTAAAAGAATAGTTAGGCCTCTTTAAATTTTGGATTGGGCATTCTCTTTTATATTTGTTTGGGTCTATTGGTTTAAACTTTAAATCTTTGAGCTAGACTACTTTCTAAGGTTTTATCCCCTACCCATCACTTTTTGGTTTGGTATAAGTGCAACTTTATTGAGAAAATTTTTATTAAGTGATAGAAAAAATATTGTATAAAAAGTTAAAAACATTGTAGATTAATTTTGTAATAAAATTTTATTAGAACTTTATTGAGATAATCAACATTTTTATATTTGGTAAGAAGTTGATATTGAAAAGTTCGAAAAAAAATTGTGAAGAGTATACCACATTGGAAAAATTAGAATGAAGCACTTTCATTTCAAAAATTATGGCAAGAAAAGTTTGTTTATGGAAAATGGTGCCAAGGAAAGTTAAGGTTACAAATGCTAATGTTATCCTTCTAGTGTAGTATTAAAATATGAAAATACTGAAATAACCCTAAAGAATCTATGGAGAAAAGTCTCCTCACTAACCAAGCGCAACCTAAGCCCTTGTGCATCAAAAATCCTAACAAGGACGGGACAAATAGATGAGTTGTATTGCGTTGGTTCGTCACAGATCATAGGTTAAATAAGTTGTGTCAAATAGTTTTCTAGCTAGAGAAGGCCATTTATGACCCACATATTTTATTATATTGTGAGTTGTCAGCCCATTTACACAAATTATATATCAAGTGAATCAAGTTAAAAAAATTTGCAGGTTAAGAATTTTTAAGTGCAATTCACTTTAATGAGTAAGTTGGGTAAGAATTATTGATAAAGTCAACTTTTGCCATGCTTAGGGCATCAATATTTCATGTTTGTTAGAATACTTGGCCCCATTCTAAAATTAACTATTTTACCAAATTTCTTTGTTAGGCCAAAGGAAAATATTTTGAGAACAATCTTTTTATATTATCTTTTTGTATAATTTTATGTGTCATTTAAATGATTAATTTTTTTTATTCATTTGATATTCATAATATTAAACACATCTATTTATTTAATGACATAAAAATTATATAAAAAATTAATAAAAAAAATTATCCCTATATTATCACCCTAATAGATCTTTATTAAATTATTTTTAATCTTTCTAAAAGTTTGTTTCCCCTTCTATATAAAATTTATATAATATCATGACAAACAGAGTCATTATTTTTTGGTAAATAAATTCGTATGATAAACAACATATAATTTAGAGGACAACAAATATAACCCATAGGAAGGAAGCCTACGCCTTCTCTCATTACATTTCTGAGTTCTTTTATGTTTTTTATAATCTCCTGGCAAGTACTATGAGCCTTGAAAGCCTTCCTGCATCAAAAAAACATTGCAAGCAACATCTTTTATTGGATATATAACTTCAACAACCAAAAGAGTGCGCCATTACAGCTAGTGTTTTAGCGATGGGGTAGGACATGACCATTAGATACGAGAAAGAGATAATCAAAGTAGTTCAAAAAAACAGATTTACGGTATAGACAAAGTTAGGAGAATACTTCACTATGTGAATATCAAAGTACAAACAAACAACTAGAATTTTTTTTCATCGTATCTTCAATAGAAGCTTCCCAACTTCACCAAATCTTATATCAAAACTCATAACCCATATAATTCTACTGCCATCATGATCACAATGATAGATGATTGAAATGTAGCAGCCATCGACCTGTAGTAAGTCTCTATAGCATAATCAAAGTGTAGCAAAGCAAAGTCTAGTTAGCTCCTTGATGCATCAGAGAAGTTTATAGTCTGCATGACCAATGGTAAAACTGCATTCAAATGATTGAACTCTTCTATTGAGTTGATAACATAAAGTAATTTGTAAACTAAGCTATCATCTTAAGTATTTCACCTACCTATTATTGAAGATGCTGCCATCCAGAACAAAATCTTGAACCTCAAGCACAAAATTGCTCCCCCTAAGTACATGATATATGAAACCAAAGAAGCACTAATCAGATCGATTGTTTATTTATGATTCTCAAAGCCAAACTGCACAGTACACAACAAAAACATGTCTTGAGGTTTTGCAGTGACATACCTTTAAATATCTGTTTGAAAGAATGTGGTTTATGCTAATTGGAAATGAGGCTGTGATACT